TGTCCGTATATCATCTGTAATTATGGGCAGTGATATACGTATATCACCTGTAATTATGGGCAGTGATGTCCGTATATCACCTGTAATTACGGGCAGTGATGTGCGTATATCACATGTAATTACGGGCTGTACCGATTCTACCATCAACCTACTTACTCGCTTATAGGACCTTCCGTCACACATAAGGCCGTTAATGACACGCGTGAATGAGTTCTGGGATTTAGAGCGAATTTGTGAATGAATAGATGAACGGGACTCCTCTGCGCCAGGTGGACCATTGATCAAGCATCTGTCCACACCAAGTGAACAGTTTATAACATGTCAAAAGTTAAGCGTTTGTTCACACCAGGCAAACTGTTAATAACGTAAAGAATGTAAAGTTGGATGTCTCGTGGTTCAGGAGAGCCACACCTTGAGCACGTTAAAGATCCCACCATGCTTATCGAAAAGACCCCGGTGCGGTTTGTCGCTTGTGCGAAACAGAGCTTGCCGTGCAGGCCCACAGATCGCCTCCGTTTGCATACCTGGGAGTGGACGTGTGAAATATAGATGTTCAGTGCAGGGCACAGTACAGGCATGTGGGCATGCATCATGCACTATACCCAGGCTCCCACCTTTCTCGTCTGTGAAGGTGGGAGCTGCCCTGACTGTACTACTAATGACCAGATACGGCTGTTGTTTGGACGGCATGAAGGTTTATCGCGATGAAGCGAGCCAGGGGGACAATGACGTAATCCCAAATCACCTGTCAGTCACGCTAGGTTTAATATATATAGGACAGATCTTAATGTTCTAAACTGTTCTGTATTATCTAAGCTCACATTTCCGCGCCCTGTAGTTCCGTGCCTTACTGCTGATCCCCCGGCTGCCGGGAACCATTTGTTACGGGATTAGGAGACTTTCCGGGCGGCTGATCTGGTCGATTAACTGCACCCCTCGGCTTCCTGCTTACAAACTTGTCATACCTTACTTTACAGCCGAGGGAGTGACGTGCCCATTGTGGCTTCTCTCTTTTCCTCCCTCTCTCTGTGTTTGTAGGGTGGTGTTTTACATGTGTGTTTGTAGGGTGATGTTTCATACGTGAGTTTGTAACTTTGTTGAGCGGGGTTTTATATGTGCGCTTGTAGGATGGTGTTTTGTATGTATGCTTGTAAGATTGTGTTTTATATGTATCTTTGTAGGGTGGTGTTTTATATGTATATTGTAGGGTGGTGTTTCATATATGTGCTTGTAGGATGGTGTTTATATGTGCGCTTGTAGGATGGTGTTTTGTATACATGTACATGTATGTTTGTAGGATGGTGTTTTATATGTATGTTTGTAGGGTGGTGGTGTATATGCATGTTTGTAGGTTGGTGTTGTATATGTGTTTGTAGAATGATGTTCTGTATGCGGAGTTTAAAGCCCACTGTCAGTCAGGATTGTGGAAGGGTTGTGGAGTTCATCTGTGTGCTCTGAGATAAGAACTGGGTGTGAATAAAACTAAGGGAACAAATAAGGAATTACAAAGTGGTGCCGAGGCAGGAGAGCAACGTTTGTATGTATCTATTCTTCAATACAGTTTACAAATGCGAGACAGTTGTATAGAAATACGTGACATAATCATATCTACAAAAGGTGAAAATAGGAACTTTCCACGGGCCCAGGACAGACACCTTGCAGGCTGAGACCTTGTTATACATTTTCCCCTGACTCCTGGCCAACAGACTCCATGCCAATTTTCCTCTGACCCCTGACCATCGTCTGGGACCTTTGGAGGTCTGTTATTACACCACCATCCATCCAACTATATGCTGTCACTCATCTCTACTTATACACAAGCAAACGCGTAAGCAAACAAACACAAACCTATACCTCGGTGCCCGGAGGTACAAACGCCAGTACAGGGGGAAAATGAAAATGAAAAAGAGCCGTTTGCGTCTACCAGGCTATAGCTAGACAGCGTAACAGTGCACAGTTGTATGTAAAATACTAACCTCCGACCAGGGTGTTGAAAATGAAACAAGTTAGCGATATAAATAAACAAACATGCAAACAAACGACAGTACGATAGACAGACAATTTGTAAAGAAGTACAGAAGACACAGAAACAGCAGGTCTTTTACCTTTTGTCTCAGGAAATATGTCTTCTACTTCATAACGACTGAACACACTCGCGCATTTAGGGTCTCCCTTCAGGTGTTCACCGACGACGTCTTGCTGCGCGGAAGCAGAGCGTCTTTAAGACGTTGTTTCTGAGGAAGCGTCCCACCTGTGTTACCTCTCCGGCCGGGAAACGTGCGACGGAAGGATTGCACCACTGTGGGCAGCTCGGAGGGACCAACCAGCATTGGTGGGGAGAAGGGTGGGCAACAAGAAGGGACCATCCAGATAATAAATTCGGGAGGAGGTTCCTACCGTCATATACAATTCGACCGCGAAACGAAATGCGGGAATACTCGTATTTCTGGATAAGAAGGAGGGCAACCAAACGTGGACACCAACTATTCCTAGCGGGGGAAGCTGGCATTGCAGCTCAGGAACAATGGGCAGGCCCTTGTAATAAACGTGTGGGAATATGTTTTTCAAGGATCAGACCTTTGAACCTGAGCAGTTCATAAAGACGGTGATATTCAAGTACACTTGTTCCAGGTGCTCTTTCGTCTTTGGACCATTGACCTGATCCCAGGTTTTATCTTCTATTAACTTCAATACACCGATACCATTTCACAAGGTTTGGTTTGCTCCTGGTAGAGCAGAGTCGGGGATTAATATGTTTTTAGGAATCCTGCCATATATAGTTGATCGGTAGGAATAACTTGAGGGAATATCGTATGTTTTTTTTAATACCATATCTTGTGGTCATACCTGTTATAACTTACAGCGGACGAGCACGATTGTGGCAACCGGGTTGCGGATGGGACTAACTCTAGTTTTAACGTATCGTCTCAAGACGCTTTGGCCTTAGACATACTCAACACAGGGTCTGTGTTCCAATTTGCTGATATAATACTCCCACAGGTGCTGTCATTTCGCCTTATGGCGGTAACATCTTGGTACTTTTTTTTTTAGTAGCGGAACTGCGGAAGGATATAGCAGCGCCTCAGTAAAGTGGCCACCTACATTCCAATATTGAACACAATGTAAGTTCATTGATAAACAGACCCATGCCTGGTAAATTAATAATTAAGCGTTATTTAAAATTCTTCTCGTCGCGTAGCCAGATTGCCCAATAAAAAATTAGTTCTGTCAAGTTTATGTAGAGTCAACAAACATAGCGGCAGTAGGATGTAGTCAAGTCAACAAAGTCAAGATCATTCCTCCCACGATACATCGCTCCACAGCTGCGTTACTATGGAGACGGCGTTCGATGCGACACCACAGACGACATATTGAATCGACAAGGAGGCGGTCGTGTCTGAACGGTGGGCTAAATTTCTACATTTTTTTTGTGAATAATTTGTGGTAAAACGGTAAACAGCCACACAGAAATCATCATGATCTATTGTAGAACTTTTACCGGGAGTACCGTGATGTTTGCAAACGTTTGTTTGGAAAATTTGGCAGAAATATGCGAGCTGTGCATGACTGGGCTAAATTTATGGAGGCTTTCAGTTTGTGACGTTAAAGTCATATGCAGGGAATGTCTCCAATTTGTAACATATGAATGGAAATAAGTACAAAAAATCTGGGTTCGGGGTAAAATTGAACACATGACACTGTGTAAGTGAAAATAATGTTTTATCATTTTACTGATGTTAACATTTACACAGATGATGATGAAATATTGTTACCGTCTCCAAAAATAACAAGTTTCAAAAACTTAACCATACAAATTTGTCTGAGTTATTCGAGTTACAAGGAAATGTAGAAACTAAAGTGCAACTGCTGAGTGAGGAGACAAATCCATGTTCTGAAATATTGGTGGTATTTGGACCGTTAGAAATGGCGTAATTTTGTTGTTGTTTTTGTTGTGCTTATGTAAGATGGGAGGGGGCGTTGCTATGGAGCAAAACAATGTATTTTTAATCTTGTAATAGTTGAATTGTTACAAAATCAGCAGTGAAAAATTTCACACGTCATTTGCAGGATCATCATATTATTTTAATTTTTGTTTCTGTCATGTAAAGTTTCAGGTATTTGATTGGGTATAGATATTCGTAATTTGTGTCGATGTGTTTAGTGACCAATGTTCTAAAGTTAAGCAGTGTTCCAGCAAAGGTAGGTTTGTCTGTTGGTAAGTTCTGTCTGTCTGGTATAATGGACGATTCTCGACCCCCGTTTTCTGCATTATGAGGTTTGTGGCACAAGTAAATCAACCTTGTATTGCGTAGATGTGAACAGATTGCATCTTGAGAGGGAACCAGCTGGATTTTATGTTCCCTACATTGACGTAACGTTACATTTCCTACAAGTTGTGAACTGCCAGTGCCGTTCCATGTCTTGTTTGATAGTAAATGGATGACGTGCATTGACATTGATAATTATTGCAATTTTAATTGTTAGGTTCTAATTATTCTGACCAATGGTCCATAGGGATTTGTATAAAACTTCTGTTGTTAGGTGGATAAATTAGAGTTCAAATCTTTGTGGCCTTTTTTAATTTGGAATTCTTATTTAATTGCATTTTAGTGTGTGGATTTCCAGGTAAAAGTCCAGACAGAGAATTACCCATTTTATGGTCTCCTTTGTGGGCTGTCTGATTTCCTATATCGTATAATAATATCAAGACAATGTTTGCTATGTGAGAAAGATAGAATATCACAGTCAACATTAGATAGAAACAGCACACTTGTAGTTGTATAATGGGTGGTGACATGCAATCAGCCTTTTCAACTTGTTGAAGTTATTTGCATGTTGAAGTTATGTCTGACTTAGTAAATGCCGTATGGCCCGTGGCCCCCTGGTTAGGGGCCAGAGCGTGGAACCTATGCCCAATTTTTTCTTGGATTATAAACTTGAGAATGAACAGGCTTGACTGTACACATGGTTAAATCTTTGGTGAAACTTTTTCAGTCTAAGCAGAATGTCTAAACCAGAAGTAAGGAGAGAGAGGAGCAGGAAGAACGATGAGAACAGAGGGGAGAACACCACCGTGAGTACATCACCGTTTCCTCTCTTCATCAGTGAAATGACCTTTCCACACTAACTAAGGTGGTGCTGCAGTGAGAATGCTGTACCAAACATGACTGATTCTGTATCCTCTCCTCTTGGTCCAAGACTGGATTTCCTGATCCTCCTTTATCCCATGTACTGATGGTTGCCATATTTTCCCCCAGCCGCCCATCAGCAGAGATGTGGTCTCGTCAGACAGAGACGCACCTGACAACATGAACCTGTCGAGCTCAGACTCCTCACAGCTCACCCTGTCAGACACAAGCCTGTCAGAGCTCTGTGATCTCCAGGTAGGTAATATTCCCCAGAAATCAGGCCACACTCTGTTTTACATCTGCCAAAAACCTGACAACTCTCAATCAAAAGTCTCTCTCCTGTCCATTATGCTGAACAGCCAGCTACTGGTTAGAACAGTTTAACCCCTCTTTATCCCTCCCCATGCTAATTTTGCTAACACCACTTAAGTTACCTTAGTGTAGCAATCTTTGTGGAAAACCAGTTTGAATATTAACATTGCTTTTTTTTAAATTTCTGCTTTAGACAATTATTGTTATGCTATGATAATTTCATACTTTTCCACTTTTAGTATTTTTTTTCAATATTTCTGTTTACAAGCCCAGTATTAGATTGCTAGTTGAAGGAAATGCTATTTGAATTTATTCATAGTCTCTGAGGCTTAAGTTTGTTTTTGTACTTCTTCAGGCAGTTCAGGATGCAGGATCAAAAGAAAGCCTAACAAGCCAGTAAGGACCCAGTTTAGCTAGATAGAATTTAACATAGGGACCAGTTTGGCTAAGCAAAACTGAAATATATATGATCAGATAACAGTTTAGCTAGATGGAGGTAAATGCCAATCAGGGATCTGTCAGCGAGACAGTCAGATTTTAAGTCAGCTTAGTGATCAGCTAAGCTAGATGTATCTAAACTTCTTAGGCAGCTCAATAGGGATTTGTGAGCCAGAGCTAAATGTGCCATTTTCAGAGGGATGTACCAGTTCACGTAGAAGGAAATGATATGTATTTTAGCTTTGGGATATGACTAGCTAGCTAGAACTATACTGTTTAGTTAGCTGAGGGGTACTTTAGCTAGAGTGGCTTAGGAATTAGTTCAGCTAGATGAAATCAAAATGTAAACTTAGCATAGGTATCCATTTTATTCAGCTCTTACAAACTGGAGAAGTGAGAAATTCTATTATTTTTGTGTCAATATTTACCTGAGATTACCTGTTTTCTTTTTTCAGTTGGGCAGAGTATACTTCAATGACCAAAGACATGATCACTAAGTACAAAGAGTAAGTACAGCATGCACAATTCTTGGAAATATAAGTTATTATGACAAAAATTATTAGTAATGTCATCTCATAATTCCATTGGGTACTCATTGATCACAATGCTAAAAGATGGTGAAGGTCTCTGTTATAATTGCAGCATCTGTTATCCCCAAGGTATGCACAGATATCCAGGTGTTCCAGACATTCTTTAGAGGGCCTAGATAATGCAACCAACCTGAGCTGTTTCCTTTATACTCCACAGGAAATGCAGGCGTCTCAAGGATCAGAACAAGAAGCTGAAGAACAAGCTCAAAGTGCAGAAAGACAACAATGACCTGTAAGTTATCAACAAACAATCCTTCAATCACACCCCTCTGCCATTTTTATTACCTCTCATATCAGATTTCAAAGTTCCTTTGACTTTTGTACCAGTAGAAAAGCTAGTTTCTGACACCAGCCAACCCTTCCAACATCATCTTGAAGAACGTTTTCCTCGGATGTTCTTGACTCTTTCCCACCATCTCTCCTGATCCATCAATAGACACGTTTCTGTTCTAATCGCTTTATCAGCACTAATATTGGCCTGTTCCTATACAAATATACTTAAAGCTGCACTCTTATTCTAAGATTTCAGAAAAGATAATTGTGGTGGGATTCCCCCCCCCCCTCCATTTCCCAACATGCCTGTGGAGGCGAGCCTGACTTTCTCTCTGCTATGGTCCAGTTAAACTTAGAGGCTGAAATGACAGCCAAAAGGCTACATTTTTTAAGTACTCAGGAAACTTAGTTCACTCTTCAAAATTACTGCTGCCAGCACCAGCTGGTCAAAGACTACTAGTTGCAAGTTAAGACAATTTCTAGGAAAGATGTTATCCACAGACAGACAGGAATACTGATTCAGAAATGCTTTCAAATAAGTCCCTGACTGAGAGGGGTTGTTTATTTTATCTTTCAGACAAACAGAAAGTCTTAAACAGCAGATGGAGGACTACAAGAGGGAAAAAGATTCAGCAAACACTAGCCTGGCACAACTGTGTGCTGAACTGAAAGATATGAGACTGTGAGTACATTTAACTAATTCTGTTGCCTCACTTAGACAGGTACTACTTCAGTTCACTGTGATTCTTTAGAAATTATCCAGCAAAAACATCCTTCTGTACCTTGTGTTACAGCAAACTACACTCTGAGCAAATGCTTAGACAGGAGATGGAGGAGACCTTGAGAACATTGGGCCATGGTGAATTCTTCCCAAGCCATCATAAAGACAAGGTCGAGCGGCTTCAGGAGGAATTGGATCTTGCAGTATTCATGAAGGATGAAGTAGACATGCGACTCTTGGAGGAAAAAGAGTAAGTTTCCTCTGGACTGGCGTGTGAAAAGCATTTGATGTTAGGGCACCCATATACACCCATATACACCCATATACACCGGCACCCATATACACCCATATACACTGGCCCACACATATACACAGGCACACACTCATACAAGCATACACACCCCACCCTTTTCCTAACCTAATTGCATCCTATCCCATTCCTACAGGAAAAATCTGGTCCTACAGAAAGAGCTGACCAGGTGAGCTTTGACCTTCCTTTCCTCCCTGTTCCTTGTAATATGAGAACTTTGGATTCAGGTAGGGTATGTGATCTACTGTACTAACATGCATTTCTAGCATCTGGAACAACAAACAGAACGTCCCTAACTACAGTTAACTACAGTGGTCATTTATAATATTACAGGAATCATTAAGATACACAATGTTTGTTGTAATTAGAAAAAATTCTTCAAATTGTTTCCTATATCAACATTGGTATTACTGGCTGCACTGTGATTAAGATCCTATTAAGAATCAAATAATGAAGATTTTAGGAATTTCAGCAACCCCTCCTGTATAGGCATAGGGTTCTAACAAAGGAATTCTGTGTTCACAGAACGGCAGATGTCATCAAAGACCTGGAAATCACATTATCCAGAACAACAAGGTAAGAACCATGTATCCTGCACATTGGGGTTTATATAATGTAGTACCTGTCCCAGGTGCTGAACACCATCCACATCAAGGTGAACACACCTATCCCTGGTGCTGAACACCATCCACACACAGGCACGCATATATGTCCCTGATGCTGAACACCAACCACACACAGGCACACATCCCTGTCCTTGGTGCTGAACACCACACACACACACACACACACACACAGGCACACATCCCTGTCCTTGGTACTGAACACCATCCATACACAAACACCTGTCAGGTAACACACCTGTCCCCAGTTCTTTGTTGCTTTCAATAAAGAATTGCTTGTTGTCATTTACTACTGCAGAACACTTGATGTCCAGCAGGAGGCAAACCTGGCAGCGGAGACAGAGATTAAAAAGTAAGGTTTCATTAGTCTGAGCCACCTCCAGTTATGATCTGTTTTTGTATTGCTACTTTTTAGAGCAAGTAATGCTGTTGTTGAATGGGTTGTAACTGCAGTATGTAGTCTGATCAGTATGTCATCCATCCTATCGAAGTGGTGAATAGGTGAAAATAGAATAGTACCCAAACATGCTTGAAAGCCAGCAATGATTTTCTGCTAGATTTTTTGCTGGATTTTCTGCTAGGTGTTAGAATCAAATACAGCACAGGGACATTCAAAGAATAGGCATACCCAGTTACATTTATGTGGCGCTGATCCAAGTGGGGAATGTTTTGTCCTTACAGAAAGCTCAGGGAAGCCCAAGAGAACTTCGACATGTAAGACTTCTTTCTCTGCCTAAGTGGTCATTCTCAGGAAAAAGTTTGTGTACAAAGAGGTCTATTCATAATGCTGAATAATGCACTTGTATGTTATTTAGTGAAGAGTAAGTTAATGTGAAAAAAGTACAGTATTTGTCTATATTGAATACCAGATTCTCTGCTGTTGCCCAATTTGTGGACATCTTAGATTAATATAATCAATTCTGCCTTCTTTGTCTCTACAGGGCTACAGAGAAGTTACAAACCACGTTTAGCCTGTAAGTTTGTTTTACTCAGTTGAATACTAATAGTATATCCATTACTATTAGTTATTACTATTACTATACTAATAGTATACTATAGTAAGTATGATTTAATGTCCAAAGTATGGTTGCATCAAGAGGTTTAAAAGTCACAAATTTTCACTTGAAAAATTTGTACTTAATGTGAAGGTTCAACATCTGAAATGCCTGTGTTGCCAGTTTATACCTGTCATTTGATGAGGAGTACTAGTACTTTAGATGATTGTGTGAACAGTGTTAACATAATTGAGCACATCTTTCCCTGATTACTCCAACAAACATCTTTTGTACTTGGTCAGAAATGATCCAAGTAGTATTATTGTTCTAAGAAATATATCCTCACTTGGCCAACAGCCTTCAGATCAAAACAGCAGACTTTGAGGAGCTGAGGAGACATCTTGCACTTATGGAAGAACATAACACAAACAGCAACAACAACAACAACAATACAAACATGTAAGTATTAGCACTCAGCTCTGGGGCATTCAAACTTTGTACAGAGGACAGAATGGACTGTAGATGTTTGAGTTCCAGCTACAAAAACTGCACTGAGCAGGCATTCCTTGTCTCCCATGGCAGAAATGCCAGTCTCCAAATTCAGGTTCAGTCCTCTGGCCTCCTTACTTTGCGAATGCATGGACACAATTGTAAGTGCATGCCTGAATGCACTACAAAACCTGATTATTGTACAGTTATTAAAACACCCCCAATGAAAGCAGCGTTTCTTGTTTTAGATTCCAACCTTCATCATCATTCAGTAGAGTTTGACCTGTACACATGTGAAGTCACCATTAGATCATGTGACCATTGGGTTTGTACTAGCCCATCTCTGTTACAATCATGTGACCAGTGGGGTCAAACCTGCCTTGGAGCTTGTCCTCCCAAGTGTTAATCACATGTTTCCCGCCTCAACTCACCAGTTCTGTGATTTTCTTTTGTCTGAAGGGTCAAGCTTGAAGACTATCAGATGCTGGAAGAAAGATTTGCTATTGAAGTATCAAGCTTGGAGTCTGACCTTGAGGGCTTACACAAGTGAGTCATGTGTTAATGTTCTCAAGCTTCTGGGCTATGCACCATTAACATTTCATTTTAGCATATCTGTTTTGGTAGGTAGCTTGATTAGAGTAACAACATTTGGCCCCAACTGCAGCTGTCTGGATTTTCAACAAATCTTTTGGTCTTTTTTGGGATCCAAAAGAAAAACATGTCACAGTTGTACCTATGTCTAGATCTCTGTGTTTTTTGTGACAAAAGAAGACATCTCTCTCCTTCTTTCCTTTCTTTTGCAGAACCAACAAACATCTTCGAGTAGAGCTTGAGAATGTGCGCAGGTACAAAGAACATCTTGTACACTTCTGCTTTTAGGTTTTAGCTCTACTCTTGTGTCAATAAAGAATCTCTTATAAGTTTACCCTTATGCTGTTTAGACTTTTATGCTGTTCTGGGACAGATTCAGTGACAAACATGAGTCAGGAAAAAACACCTGGTCCAGTATTGTCTTGCTATTCCAGTGCCCTTCTAGACTTGTTCAGACTTCCAGATGTGCATCTACTGTAACAACAAACACAAGATACACAATGTTTGTTGTGATTAGAAAAAATTCTTCAAGTTGTTTTCCTATATCAACATTGGTATTACTGGCTGCACTGTGATTAAGATCCCAATGAGGACCAAATAATGACGATTTAGGAATTTTAGCACTCTGTATAGACATAGGGTTCTAACAAAGGAATTCTGTGTTCACAGAGTGGCAGATGTCGTCAAAGACCTGGAAATGAACTTATCCAGAACAACAAGGTAAGAACCATGTATCCTGCACATTGGGGTTTATACATGTAGTACCTGTCCCTGGTGCTGAACACCATCCACATCAAGGTGAACACACCTATCCCTGGTGCTGAACACCATCCACATCACAGGCACGCATAGATGTCCCTGATGCTGATTACCATCCACACACAGGCACACATCCCTGTCCTTGGTGCTGAACACCATCCATACACAGAACAAACACACCTGTCCTTGGTGCTGATTAGCACACACACACACACACACACACACACACTCCATCGACCCATCCACACACAGGCACACATCCCTGTCCTTGGTGCTGAACACCATCCATACACAGAACAAACACCCGTCCTTGGTGCTGAACACCACACACACACACACACACACACAGGAACATATCCCTGTCCTTGGTACTGAACACCATCCACACACAGGCACACATCCCTGTCCTTGGTGCTGAACACCATCCATACACAGGTTAGCACACCTGTCAGGTAACACACCTGTCCCCAGTTCTTTGTTGCTTTCAATTAAGAATTGCTTGTTGTCATTTGGCAGGGAGACAGAGATAAAAAGTAAGGTTTATTAGTCTGAGCCACCTCCAGTTGTGATCTGTTTTGTGTTGCTACTTTTTAGAGCAAGTAGTTCTGTTGTTGAATGGGTTGTAACCGCAGTATGTAGTCTGATCAGTATGTATCCATCCTATCAAGTGTAGGTGAAAATAGAATAGTACCCAAACATGCCAGCAATGATTTTCTGCTAGATTTTCTGCTGGATTTTCTGCTAGATTTTCTGCTAGGTGTTAGAATCAAATACAGCACAGGGACATTCAAAGAATAGCAGCATTATAGGCATAACCAGTTACATTTATGTGGCACTGATCCAAATGGGGAATGTTTTGTCCTTACAGAAAGCTCAGGGAAGCCCAAGAGAACTTCGACATGTAAGACTTCTTCTTTGCCTAAGTGGTCATTCACAGGAAAAAGTTTGTGTACAATGAGGTCTATTCATAATGCTGAATAATGCACTTGTATGTTATTTAGTGAAGAGTAAGTTGATGCGAAAAAAGTACAGTATTTGTCTATATAAATACCAATTCTCTGCTGTTGCCCAATTTGTGACATCTTAGATTAACATAATCAATTCTGCCTTCTTTGTCTCTACAGGGCTTCTGAGAAGTTACAAACCACGTAGCCTGTAAGTTTGTTTTACTAAGTTGAATACTAATAGATATCCATTACTATAGTTATTACTATTACTATACTAATAGTATACTATAGTAAGTATGATTTAATGTCCACAGTATGGTTGCATCAAGAGGTTTAAAAGTCCTTTCATGTGGTATCTTATCATGTACACTTCAGATTTAAAATTGTACTTAATGTGAAGGTTCAACATTTGAAATGCCTGTGTTGCCAATTTATACCTGTCATTTGATGAGGAGTACTTTAGATGTGTACTAAGTACTAAGAAATATATCCTCAATGGCCAACAGCCTTCAGTCAAAACAGCAGACTTTGAGGAGCTGAGGAGGGACATCTTGCACTTATGGCAGAACTAACACAAACACAACAACAACAACAATACAAACATGTAAGTATTAGCACTCAGCTCTGGGGCATTCAAACTTTGTACAGAGGACAGAATGGATTGTAGATGTTTGAGTTCCAGCTACAAAAACTGCACTGAGCAGGATTCCTTGTCTCCCATGGCAGAAATGCCAGTCTCCAAATTCAGGTTCAGTCCCGGCCTCCTTACTTTGGAATGCATGACAAATTGTAAGTGATGCCTCAACGCACTACAAAACCTGATTATTGTACAGTTATTAAAACACCCCCAATGAAAGCAGCATTTCTTGTTTTAGATTCCAACCTTCATCATAGAGTTTGACCTGTACACATGTGAAGTCACCATTAGATCATGTGACCCGTTACAACATTTGGCCCCAACTGAAGCTGTCTGGATTTCAACAAATCTTTTGGTCTTTTTTGGGATGCAAAAGAAAAACATGTCAGACTCTATCTATGGCTAGATACCTGTGTTGACAAAACAACTCTCTCCTTCCTTCCATTGCCAGGTGTTCTGGATGGATTCAGTGACAATCATGAGTCAGCATCAGTATTGTCTTGCTATTCCAGTGCTTCTAGACTTGTTCAGACTTCCAGATGTATTTCCTCCAGAATATATATAGAGACTAACAGTCACTTGTATATCTTAGAATTGGAAACATTTATCGTTTACAGGCTTCATCACCCCGACACCCCGTCCATCTCAAGGACCAACCTTGTGGTCATGCAACCTGAGATAGTATCCTTCAAGCCCATCTCAAGGAACAACCTTGTGGTCACGCCAGATAGTTCCTTCAAGCCCATCTCAAGGACCAACCTTGTGGTCACGCAACCTGAGATAGTGTCCTTCAAGCCCATCTCAAGGAACAACCTTGTGATCACGCAACCTCAGATAGTATCCTTCAAACCCATCCCAAGGACCAACCTTGTGGTCACGAAACCCAAGATAGTATCCTTTGAACCCATCCCAAGAACCAACCTTGTGGCCACGCAACCCAAGATAGTATCCTTCAAACCCACCTCTACAAACAAGCTGGCCATCACCGAGCCAAGCCTGTGCTACTTTGACCCAGACATCACTGAAGCAGGCATTAGGTAGGCAGGACCACCTTGGTACTCAAACCAGCTTTTTGACTGTGTAATTAAGAAATTTGACTAACAGTCAAGTGCTGTCATAAGCAGATGTTGTTTGGTTGTTTTGCCTCAAGGCATAACACACCAACTCTGTGCATCTATTTCTTGCTACTGTCAGTTTTAGCATTTTTGGGATCAGGTCAGACCTGAGAGACAGTACGCAGTAGTACCCTGTCACTGGTGCCAAATACCATCCATAAAGGTAGCAGGCATGCCTTTGTTACATTTGTCTCTTATTGAGGCTGATATATTTGTTACTAAGCTAAACATGCCTGTCCTTTGCTGAACACCACCTCACCTATCCGCAGGGTAAAGATTTCTGTTAGGTCAAGTGAGCAGATCGGGTCTCAGCAGGGGTTATGTTGTTTGACCAATGGTCTGTGTCCCGTGCATTGCTATGATTGATTGTGTTTAGTTTGGTCTCCTATAGTGATGTGCCTGGCACTGGTACCAATACCATCCACACACAGGTAGCAGGCATGCCTTGCTCTTATTGAGGCAGATATTAACTCCTGCAGAACACTTGATGTCCAGCAGGAGGCACACCTGGCAGCGGAGACAGAGATGAAAAAGTAAGGTTTTATTAGTCTGAGCCACCTCCAGTTATGATCTCTTTTTGTATTGCTACTTTTTAGAGCAAGTAATTCTGTTGTTGAATGGGTTGCAACTGCAGTATGCAGTCTGATCAGTATGTCATCCATCCTCTCGAAGTGTAGGTGAAATTAGAATAGTACCCAAACATGCCAGCAATGATTTTCTACTAGATTTTCCGCTGGATTTTCTGCTAGATTTTCTGCAAGGTGTTAGAACCAAATACAGCACAGGGACATTCAAAGAATAGCAGTATTATAGGCATAACCAGTTACAATTATGTGGCACTGATCCAAATTGGGAATGTTTTGTCCTTACAGAAAGCTCAGGGAAGCCCAAGAGAACTTCGACATGT